TATGGGGATCGATCTCATTACATTACAGTATAGTCTGCTAGACTAAATCTCGGATTTTTCTGTTAATTCACCCCAAATAATGTAAAGTTACTTATCGCAAATATTAATTCACCTCATGAGATTATAAATTTTAAATCCAAGTTTGTTTGTTATTTTTATTAAATTGTTGGCATTCTATTGAAATTATAAATTTTAAATCAAAACTTGGCATCAGGTTTCTGGAATATAGAACAGCCTCCATATTATTGAACACAATCCGAAGTTGTATTTTAGCTGGGACTACGATTATGTTAGATAGTTGGAAAAATATACATCTTTGAAGGATGATCGCAATAATATTCATCTGACTGTAAATTCCAGTATGAATTTCGTTGAGCCTGAAACATCAGCTCACATGAAGAATATGTTCGGGACTCATCGCAGCAGGATAGACTCTTATTTATATAAGTTCCTTTGGGGACGTAAGGCAAAATTTAACAATGAATGGATTTTTGAACAAATTTTAAAAGACACTTCTGAATTTTAGTGTGAATTTTAGTAAATATAAATTCTTTTTATTTGGGGGTGAATTAACAGAAAAGATCCTAAATCTTTAACCATCACCCTCAGTTAGGCGCTTTTTTATGAGTGCATTTGTTTCTGTGTGTATGTTTGGCATGAGAGTGTTTGTTAGTATTTACGAGATTCAACCAGAAGTTACGATACAAGCGCTAAATGACTCATTCAGAAAAAGAATAACGATAAAATAGAAAACAAATTTGATACTTTATTTATTGACAGAGTGATTTCTGGAAATATGGAAAGTGTACGGCACGACACGGGAAATGATGGAAGATGGGTAGGTTTTTCAGTCTCTTCAAAATCCTCTAACCTGTATGTAAAACTTTATGGCTTTCTATCTACGTATGCTTCATTAATAAATCCGTTGAAAGCAACATATGCCAAAAACTAAAAAGGACATTTATCAAAGAAGGTTGGAAACAATATGTGAAAGGTGAGTGCGTTTTATTGGTCATTACTTGAGAAGTGACGTTTTACGAAATTATAAATTGTAAGATCAAGAGGAAGAACAGGAAGGACTTTTGTCGACCAATGCATAGAGAGTCTACCAAAATTAGAAAGGAAGAGATGGACAGAGCTAGAGATGAGAAAAATGGCTGGGGAAAATATTGTCAGAAGTATTCGTTTGAGTAAAATCAGATAGATATGAAACACAGTGTATATCAGGTTTGCCAGATCTTGCGCTTCTGGCAAAATGGATGTCGCGCAGAGTTGTCCACCAAAATCAAATACACGCGAATGGCCTCATCTAACTCGCCACAAGGGGGAGAGAAAGGGAACTGGGGTGGGGGATGATGATCCCGATGCGAGCGGGTGCCGACGAGGATCTCTCTCTATTTTTTAAGCGATTTCACCCCAAGCAAGGCAGTAAAGCCACTGTGGCTCAAGGGGTTACTGAGCGTGGAAGAATTATAAAACAGTGAAATTAAATCACAATCCACGGTGTGTCGCAGCGAAACTTCTACACAATCTGTTCCAAACAAACGCTCCGTACACCACGATCACGCATTCAGATGACCGATAGTATTTAAAAGAGTAGCGTCACGCATGCGTAGTGGGACGACTGTAAATGGCCGCTTCACGCGACAACGCGTGACACCGTCGCTCCCTCGCGCCGTCGGCCATGTCAGATTTATACGCTAAACAATTACGTGCCCGCTTCGTCCAGCGACGTAAGTGAATTCTCTTGCTACAAACAGAAATATTACTAAGAAGCGTGAATAAAGGAAACGTAATCAGGAGGACAGTAGGTAGCAATTTACATTGCATTTAAATTTTGAAAAAAAATGGAAAGCATGGGGCCGGAAAGGAAATTCCACAAGCGAGAAATGTGGGAAAAGAAAACGTTAGCATAGAATTTACGGCTATATCTCTATATACAAGTTTATTACTGCACTTAAATTCATAAAATCTAAGTACCATTCGAACAATTACTATGAAAGTATTTTATATATTGTGTCATAAATTCACTTCTCGTTTATGAACATTTTTGTTTAAAAAAGTAAAGTAAAATAACATTTTATTTGACTATACACCCCTTGCTAATAATTAACGCCACCACCTAATCATAAGAAATTCAAATTTCTGTAGCAACAAACAATATACTTGAATAGAATATAAAGGATTCATAAAATATAAGAAGATTTTCTTAATAATGTGTCATTCCACTCCAATTTGCAATAATTGCAGCCATTCTGGCAGATATTGATTTAATTAATTGGCTGTTATCTCATGTCACACATCTTGGACCTTCATTCAAGGCATTACTTTTGAAATTATTTTCATTTTATCCAATCTTTCCTTCAATGTAACCCAAACTTATGTTCATTTCGGTTTGCATCAGGTGATTGTGGTAGTCACGGCATAACTGTATATCCTTGTTGCTTAAACCAAGTCATTACTACCTTAACTTTATGAAGTGGGGCAATATCTTGTTGCAGAATACTAAACTGAACAAGATTAGTGATATTAAGACTGTCCTGCAATAGTTGAATATATGAAGCAGAATTCAGGCGATTAAGAATTTCAACAAGTTCACCAATGTCGTTTCCATGGAAACAACCGCAATACATTATCTTGCCTCTTCCACTGTGAACCATTGGTCTAGTCATCCCTGATTGAAACACCTTTTTTTTATAGCAAGGGACATATCGACGTTGCTTTGTTTGAACTTAGTGTATAAGCACTTTATCAGCGAAGAACACATTGCACCATTGGTCGACAGTCCAGGTGCTACGTTCTCTAACCCAAGTTAATCTTTTTTTTTTTTTCGCATGCTGAAGTCATTAGTGTCTTCTTGGCGACCCTACAACGCAATCCAAATGACATCATACGACTGCGTGTAGTACTTACAGGAATATTAGTACGTAGAAATATTAGTGTCTTGTTCCATATTAAATTGCTGAGTAATTGCTCGAGAAAAAGAAGTTGGTTGAACACGCTACAGCATATGTAAACGTCGATCCTAACAGGCAGTCGTGCTATGACTACGAACACTTGAAAGATTAGAAAGGATACCAGTTTCTTTAAATTTGGAGTTTATGCGAGCAACAGATGATTGGGCAACATTGTATCGCTTTGCATCATCAGTAAGAGATACACCTTCAATGTGTGGGGCACAAATTGCGCTTCTTTCTGCTACAGTCAGATCTCGTGTTTTTTGGCATTCTGTAAAGAGTGCGTAGAAATTTCATTATAATATGATGCATACAATAGTTATATAATAAATAAATAAATAATGAGTTAATTGTATTGGTTAAATGTCATTGGACAAATGATTTTTTAATATTATTAGGTGGTAGCGTTAATTATTGACAGGGGCTATATTCACGTTCGAAAAACGTAATAATAGGTTAGTGCAAGGCCAGGACAATATGGGGTCTGCGGAGAACAGACCAACCTAGTTTTAAAACGTTTCTTTTTTGTTATTCTGCGTTGTCCGAGACGATAAGAGCATTTTTCTTTAATCCATTGTGTACGTTACCACTTCCGTGCGAAATGCACACCAAGTTTATTCTTAGCTGTCGCGTATGATTAGTAAAGTAAATTCATTATTAAATTGATTAACAAAAATGTAAATTATTTATAACTTAACCTAATATTGGTGCGTCAGACAACTTTTTAGAAACCGCGTAAATACGAGACTCTGATCCTAATAGATATTCGTACAGTCGCGCTTTTATCCTTGGCAAAGAATACAGACATCCTCAATTAAATTAGTTAGGCGATTCCAGCATGGAGTTGTAGTTAAAAAGCTACTGTTACTCTGTAATTCTTAGTTGAAATCTCCCACTACTGTAGGGATTATATGTCCACTAGGGACTATGAAAGTTGAAAGGTTACGTGTTTGTGTGTATTTGATGTCGGTGCGTGTCCAATATGTAAACAAAGAAGATGAAGAAGCGTACAAAAAACTTGAGTTTCGACTACTTCTTTTGTGGTAACTTAGTGGGACAAAGTTCTCAATGTCTCTTGGATATGACCGTTCTCTTTCTGGTCCAGAACTTAGGAGAGGTAAATATAAGTATCGTATCATGATCGAGCTCAAGTTAACCTTGCGAAGAGTTGGAACAAACAAAGGAAAATTTCTACTTTATCATTTGAAGGTTAGACATTACGGGATGTCCGTTTTCTTTTTTTGCGTCCAGAGGCTAGAGTAAGTAAGTACAAGTATCGTTACAGTGGTCGCGCTCAAGTCAGCCTTGCGCTGAGTTGGAACAGCCAGAGAGAAAGTTTGACTTACTTCTTAGGTTGAGGTTTTGGAAGACAATTCTAACATATGGCACTAGAAAGGTTTTTCTTGGTGCCATGTATTGGAAAATGGTAAGAAAGAGTCACTAGTAGACCGGTGAAAATAACGTTCCCAACCGAAACGTGATTACTACATGGAGAAAGGTAGTGGGGCGTGAAATGTTTGCTTTTATATAGGCTTCAAAAACACCACCTAATGCGTTTGACAAAACCAAGTGGGGCCATCACAGTTGTGGTTTCTCCACTCTTAGCAACATGGGAAAATGTATTTCTTTTTCTTCTTTATTACTCATTATTAATTTTATTGATTTTATTTCATTTTCTCACCATTACTCCTATGGGATCCTTCTGGAAGTGTCTTCTCACGAAGATTGACTTCCCAGACACCATAGCTCGGGACTCAGGGTTGGACATTAGGGATCTGAGGACAGCAATACAGAACTGAACAGTGTGGAAAGGGATTGTCAATGGAGTTTCGACCAACCATAGGGATATCGAAGGATGGTAATAATGAATGTTTAGTCCATTAATCAAGAAAATTATTTCTTTTGTTATATCCTCGAGATTTGGCCGAGTTTTGTGATCCTGTGGCAAACAAAGCTAAGATTATTTGATCTAAAATAACGGCATTTAGAAATTTAAATGAAACAGTAATTTTTCATTCTTTGTTTTTAAATATCTCATTGCAGGTCGTCAAGATGTTGGCAACTATCGTGGTTCTTTTTGGCATTTGTTGGCTTCCGATTCACATATTCATTCTGGTCTTGGACTTCAATCCATCGCTGGAGAAAGAATACCGAAGAGCGTTGACTATTTTGTATATCATAATTCACTGGTTGGCCATGGCCAATAGTTTTATGAACCCAATCATTTACGGATTTATGAATGACAACTTCCGGGTAAGATTTTTCTTCTTTTATTTCTTTGCTTAAGGAGAATCAGTTTTCTATTTTGTTTTCTTCAGTTTCAGTATTTGTACACTACTCGACGAAAAAGTTAAACTTTGGCTCGATTACTTATTGTGTCGAATGCCTACCCCCAGACCCGATACGAAAACATGCAGATTCCAACCGCCCACGAGAGAAAAGCACTTCCGGTGTTTCCTCTTGCGTCATTAGAGTCCATCCAGTAAATCGCTGATTAATAAGCTTGTCTTGCAGACCATTGCTTATGTAGCGAGTTCGAGCCTCCTGTCTTCTCTTTATTTGTAAGCATGTAATATTAAATGTCCCAAACTACAATAAAAATAGATTTTAGTTATTTTTCAGGGGGTATCACAGACGAAAGAAAATTTCGAATTTTTTGCACATAGTATTATATTTTAGCATTTTATAAACAGACTAAATTTCAAAGGGTATCACAGATAGCGTCAAAATATAGAGAATGTCATAGACGATGATAAATGTCGGGGTTGGAAGGATATTAAAAACGGATGGAGATATCAAGCATTATCAGGAAATGCCTAAATTTCACGGAGTACTACAGTCAATGAAGTCTCACAGACAAGACGAAATTTCGGAGGTTGCGTAATATTAATAGTAAAATGAGTCGTTTCCATGAAAGAAACATTCAACATTCATTGACCGATTAGCCATCGGCAGTTGAAATTTATAAAAGCATTTTATTAAAGCAGTTTGTTCAAGAAAATAAATTCTCAAGTTCATTTATCGAACATTCTAGTGTTAATGGGCGTGATCCCGTACCATTATCATTTGCCGAGAACATTTATAAATAAGTATAAGTGTAAAAGATCATGTGCTAGGAGAAAGTGACCTCTTAGCCCCACCCCACAACGATTAGGCATCGATTATAATATTTATAATTTTCTTCCTTTTTTTCCACCTGGGAATGATGGAGTCGAATTATATATACGTCTACGATAGGAAACGTACAAATACTAATTTTATCAATGAACTGATCACCTTAAACGCATAGCACTGCGTGTTGGATTGTAGACATTTAATAAGCTAAATTTCATGGCTACCTCAGTGAAATTCAAAGTGTCTGAACTACCAAAGTGGTCTGTCGTTAAACGATAAACACTTTACTTTTACTAACTTCACGCGTTTTTACTAATTTATTCACCCAGTACAAATCCTAAGAGTCACTAAAGGTCGGTACTGAATTAGATTTTGTGTGAGCGGAAGCGGGAAGTAGAGATTCTAAGGTTATGTAGGATAGATAATGTTTGGTCCTAGATTGAAGCGGTTAAGACTGTGGTAGTAGAGGAAGCATTCCCTCGGGAGTCTGTCCCACAAAGCAGTGGATCTTGGAAAGAAGCTGTTCGAATAGAACGAAAGAAATGAAGATGATTCGACTATGTATACGTGGCATGGTAGTTCTTAGCTGTGAAGATATGAACTCGTGGAATTAATGAATGCAGCTCGTCAGAACATTTGCCATGGAAATAGCGATAGAGTAGCGAGTGGCTCGCGATGTTTCGTCCGCGAAAAAGGGTTATAGATTGGAAATTAATCATCACCCCACAAAGACAAACTTTATCAACGCTGAAATGTGAAGGTTGTGCAACTCCAGTACAAATATAGCAGCATATTCCATGTTTTTGTTTGATCTGTCTCTTGTAAAGATAGAGCATATCAGGAGGAGTCTGATGCTTACTGGAGCGTTACAAGGAACAGACCATTTCTCCAGCATCTTTAGCGATAGATTGGATAAATGAGTGTGACTTGAGGTAGTTCAAGAAACTTTATAGTTTTTGTATTTCATGACAGATTGTTTCACCATATACTTAATCATAAGAGAGAAATATTTTGTTGATATTTATTTAAAAAACCCTATTTGTGATTTCAGCCATTGTATAAACAGTTAGTTAATTTAAATAGAGCCATGTCATTTCTGTCTTTCTTTAAGTAAAAAGGTAACTTGTTGTGACTGTTTTTCTTTCTATGCCGCCAAGCATGCATTTTGTTGGTCTCAATGGAAAGGCATGCAATAATTCCTCATCTTAAAAATGTTGATGTCCGTAGTTAACCTTGTCCCAGGAAAATGAGTGAGAGGCTTGTGAAGTTTCGTCTACCGGAAAGGGGTAAATAGGGAGGAGAAAAAGCCAAACGAGAAATAGGTAACTCCAAACCAGATATGGCAACAAGAATCTCTTATAGAAAGAGGAATCATATTTTCTAGAGCAGTAGAAGGAACTGACCACTTTTCTAATAAATTACACTTGTGCTTAGGATCAGAAAGAATTGAAATATTGAGGAAACATAATGAGGAAAATAGAACGAAGGGCGAGTGAAGGCAAGAGGAGCGAATCATCTACCTTAGCGAGCCGGTGTAAATTGATGGCATTTTCCATCATGAAAGCAAGGCTCAGCATTTTTCCTTACAAGAGAATAAAATAACATCTTAGAATTTAAGTTAAAACACAATACCAATCAACCAGTCGCAGTCTTTTACTGTTTTTCTTTCGATCACTTTCTTTCTCATTTCTCTTCTCACTCTTTCTTATTTTGTTCATCTGTCTGACTATCTATCTATCTATCTATCTATCTATATATATATATATATATATATATCAGTCTGTTCATATGTATCTAGCTAGCTAGTTAGGTTTCTCAGTTTATTCATATCTATCTATCTATCTATCTATCTATCTATCTATCTATCTATCTATCTATCTATCTATCTATCTATCTATCTATCTTAGTCTGTTAATATCTATGTTGTAATGTAAGAAAAGAGCCTGTTGAGTTTTAGAGGGAAACGCCTAACCGATTGCTCTCCCAGAAACTACAGGGGTAATAGTGAGAGAGGGAAAAGTGACGGGAGGTAACAAAAATAACACTGCCTCGGAAACTACAACAACTTGAGGAACAAAATACTCACGGGATCGATTTCACAAGACACCGACTTCTGTTTTCTCCAGCTTTTATTGGCATGAGACATCTTACAAAGACCAGGATCTTGATCAGTTGCAGAGTTACCAGTAGGTAGACATTACAAACTGTCCCATTCCTAACGGGAAAAACCCGGATGTAACTGGTGTTGACAAACATGTCCACATGCGATCCGAGACCACTTCTGTTCGCGTTCGCCACATTCCCCCCAACTGATATCTTGATCACAGACGCGACACCTTGGATCGGGTCTCTTTCGCCGAGTGCTTCTCCGAAGTGGTCTCCATGTGATTCTTCCCCCGTGGGATCATCTGGCTTATCCACGTTCACGAGGATTTCATCCTCACTTTCGGACATATTCACTACTTGTTGAAGATCGTGATCCGTGACATAATTGCCAGTAAGTCCAGTAACTTTCCGAAAGTTATTGTACACCGCTTCTGTGAGGCCTTTACCCACACAATTTCTCCTATCTTGTACACGTCGTGGCCTACCTCAGACATCGTTGGAGACACTGATTCAATCCCTTTAACCTGAACCTCGTATCTGTAGAATTGATTTTCCTGCGCGGTCAGTAGTGAGGTGTCATCTTTGTGGGGGTACATTGTATTAGTAAGTGACCTCTTCAATACTACGCTTCATCCTGGCCGCAATCCTCTTGGCACTATTGTGACAATGTCCCGTTATTCCATTTCTTGTCGGGACATGCACGCATCGGAATCGCAGATGTACGTCCCATTCATGGGCAAAGGTCCTGAACTCCCTGCTGCGGAAAGCGTTGTCATTGTCTGTGAGTATCTCATGTGGTGGTCCCCTTTCACAGAACACAAACTCCAGCTGATGTATAATACTCAATGAGTCTTGGCGGTTTAAGGGCCGCCAAAAAGAAAAACGCCATGGGCCATAATTTTTTAGTGTCAGGTAATGACAGCCGCGGTAGTGAGTGATATCCATGCCGAGCTGGTGCCAAGTACTGTTCACTCCAAGTCTTCCCCTTTCCCAATGGACTGACGCAAGATCTGTTGTTGTGCAATCTACATACGACCCAATGGCCGATTTACCATGGCCTTTGTCACGGAAGGACAAACTCTTTTCACAAAATATGTGGTGCACCATACTCTTGGATACCCACTACGTTGATGTAATTCCATTATCTGACTGAGATTCATGGTGTCGGGGGAAGCATCACACACCTGCACAGGTTCAGCCCCATTTTTGGTCATATCGAGCCACCTTTGGGGTACACGAGTTCTGGCTTGACGCGACCAGCATCACGCCGACAGACAACATATTCTTGAACCAGTCCCTTTACTGTACTCAACTTTCTTCGCACCGGCATCTCGCTTGCTGCTTTGGTACGTATCCTAGCTTTTCCCGTGAGGGTGTTAGAGAACCAGTGGTAAACACATAAGGAATAGTTTTTTAGGTGCAGACACTTTGTCTATTACTGGCGGGAAAAATTGAAGGCTTTGATTGCAGCGTCCAGTTCAGCCAAGTTATATCAACTTGGCTGAACTGGTTGCGCGTCGTTTGTAGACCGAAACTAGCATGCATCCTCCAACGCACCACTCCTGTCGCTAGGGAGCTTGAATCGACCTATACGTTGACTGCTGATCCGATCTTTCTGTGGAACTCTGTCCATAGTCTCTGTAAAAATCTGCTTGAGGGATATGCCGTCAACTTGGTCACCCCAACCTTTTGTAACTGCGTTTTCCCGCCGTTTGATGAACCCGGTCGCCACAGGCAACCATCCACATACGGGGAGCTGTTCCACCAGCTTCCCACATGGAGAGAAGACATTTTGGCGAAGGACATTTTGGATCGCGCTTCACCGCGTCCACCGCAGTGTGTTACGCACCACCAGACTTCCAGTCCAAGCACGCGAGCCCCATCCTTTAAATGTTGTGGGTCCTTGTACATCAGCCCATACTGGTCCAATTTTGCCTTGATATATAGGTGTAACGTAGAAATATCACAAAGAAATGCACTATCCCAGTTGACCCGAACAAAAAAGTTAAATTATCTATTACAAAAAAATAACAACACACCTGCGAAATCAAAACTACAAAGAACCAACGTTATTTACGAGTTTAAATGCCTCTCAAGGAACTGTGTTCCTGATCAAACCGAACTCATACATAATTACATCGGCCACACTACCAAATGCAGATCAAGACGACTTACGTTACATCTATCTGACCACAGCTCCATTAGAACTCATTTAAACACACACACAAACCTAACAGACTCCACCTGAAACATGCTAGTAGAAAATACAAGCATCATAATCTCATCTACATATTAAAAAAATTAAAAATAATGGAAACTCTCAATAATAAAAAAAAGAAAAAGACAACACTCAATAACATTAGCTATGGAAAGGGCTACAATGTGCTGACCGTGTTTGGAAAATAAAACACCCCTATAACTCTAGAAATATACAGACAACCCATACATTCAGTTAAAAGTAAAAATTATATTTGATAATTGCTAAAAGTATAGCCGAAAGTGCTGGGAATTACAAAACTTTGGACAGTTTTACACTCTTTACGAACATAAGAAAAATGAAATAAAACTCCTTAATCACAATCAGTCGTCTTTAACAAAACATGTATAAAAGAGGGATTGCTGCCTAAATACACAATATATTTTTGTGTAAATGGATGGCAGAAACGAGACCTGGTGGAATAATTAAGGACAAATATTGCTTATACTCACAAATGATAGAAAGTTGTAAATAGTTATTGACTTCTGCATCGTGAAGGGTCACAACACACTTGAAATCCGATATCGCATTTGAATGGCACTAAATGATCGCCAAAAGCTAAGTGCAATATTAAGAAAAAGCAACGTTTCGTTAGAAACAATGAAAAGAGTGTTGACTTGCTGTTTATTGTCAGTTCTCCTCTATATCAGTGTATGTTAAACAATTTCCTTACAGATGAAAAAAAGAGAAGACTTCTGACAACAGAGATTTGGTTCTACAGAAGGACGCTGAGAATGCCATAGACGTGAGCAACGAGGACTTTTTAAGGAAAATAGAAACAAAAAGAACACTTAATATTAGAAAGATATACTTGAATTTTCTAGGGTACATAATGAGAAAAGAGGGCTTAGAAAATGTGACACTTCCAGGATAAAAAACAAGAGAAACATGGAAATAGCATATAACCTACCTAACAAGCTCGCGTAAATGGTCGGCACAACATAGACTGGGAAGGTGAAGCATTATAAAGTATAGGAAGCTGTGAAGAGTCATTATCTACAACGTCTCACATGAACACGGCACATAAAAGAATAAGATGGGACTAAGAAGACGTGAGTCCGAAGAGTGTTGAGCCAATCCTTCAAAAAGCGAAGACCTGCTTACCTGGAGTTTAGATGTGTTTGTACACAGTATCTGGCAGAGGCAGGAAATTTACAACTCTCTCAAGTACAAAGTAAATTAAATGTATGGCCGCATCGTTATTCCTCAAGGTAAATTCATTAGGAATTTAATCCTGTTAGATGTCGGATTGTAAAATATGACAAAGGGAGAGTGATGGGCTGAGGAAGAAACTTGGTTAAAAGTGGAGGAAAGAAAGAATAAACAAGAATGAGAAGGAAGAAGGTAAGAGAAATACGAAGAGGATAACAAAGGAGAAAAATGTAGAAATTGTGAAAGTTAAAAAGGAATAAGGTAAGATAGAGGAAAAGAAGACGTGAAAGACAATAAAAACGGAGAAGAGGAAAAGAGGAGAAATCAAAAGCAATTATCAACCCTTTGCAGGTTAAAAGCTAGAAAATATTCTTGATTTTATGATAATAATTATTTACTGATACAAGCCTTACTAATTAACCCCTTAGCTGGATAGAGAAGAACTAGACTCCTACTATTCCGAAGGTTATCTACGAGTAAGTTAATATAACGAACCCAACTGGAATTGGAACTCAGCTATCCGATTAAAAATTTCGAGTCGTTATCCATTATACCACACGCACATCTTAGCTTACAGCATCTGCTATTCCAAAGCGGTCACCCATCCAGGTACTGAACAAAATGGACGTTGCTTAACTTTGGTGATCGTACGGGAACCGGTGTTTCAATGTCATATGGCCGTAAGACACAAAATGATGGATGAGACGAAAATATAAAGAATAAGAAAGAGGATACGGGGGAATGAGGAGGAGGAGAAGTTAAAAGGAAAAAGAAGAGAATATGATAGAGGAAAATGACAATAAAAAAGATGAAGGAAAACAAGAGGAGGAGAAGGAGGAGGAGGAGGAGGAGGAGGAAGAATTGAAGAAGAAGACAAAAGCAAAAGAAAGAGGTGAAGCGATAAAGAAGGACGAACTATATGCAGGGAAGAAAAGAGGAAGGTGGAAAAAATGAGGAGAAAGATTAAGAAAAGGAAAGTAGGGAGAAAAAAGATAAGAACAAAGACAATAAAAATGATAAAGAGAAAGTAGAAGAAATGGGAGACGAAAATGTATAAGCTAAGAAGAAGAAAAAAAAAAGATAAATCGATGAAGAAATAGGGTAGAGGAAAATATAAAAGAGAAGGGGAGATGTAGAAGGAGAGGAAGAAGGAAAGAAGAAAAAAAGGGAAGAAGGAGAAAAAAGATGGGGTGGAAGAATGAGAGGATGAAGAAGAGAAGTAAAAGAAAGAGAAGGAAGAGAGTAAGAAAGATAAAAGAAAAGAAAGGGAGTAAGAAAGATAGAATAGAAAGAAGATTGTATATTTTAATTTCCGGGTAACTTTAACAAATCAAAATTATGTTTTGACAATAACATTTCAACAAATTCTTTTTATCTGTCTAGTTTCCTCGT